ATCAACATTGGCTACCAGAAATCACTTACTCTGCCTTTAATAGCCCGCACGTGAGATCTTCCTTCGCTCCAACGGTCGTTGTCCTGACAACGAGTCTGGCCATCAGCTGATTTCTTGTAACGGTAAATCAGCGTCTTTTCCGTAGTGTCTGCTGCAGGATGGATATAAAAGTATAAAATACGTTTTGGTTTGACAACATCATTAATATGTGAACTATCACAATTAAAGCACAAAGACATAACAACATTACACCCCGAGACCGTTCACAAGTGTGAGAAAAGAGAATAAACAGTTTCCGGAAGAGAAGTTCATCAGGCGAATTTGAGCGTTGACTTTGTCGAGTCATCCAGTTTAGCGGTGAGTATAATGTCCTCATATATCTTTAGTTAAAATTTTAGAGCGATGTAAAAAGACTTCACGGATCTCTTATTCAACCCGCTGAGATGAGAGGAAAATGAGAGGAAACGCCCCTTCCTACTGATCTGTGCGCGAGATGCTTACTATAGCACAGAACACACAGAACTTAAGTCTGATAGAAAGACAAAACAACTGGTTTAATGCTGTTTTTACTACACTTTTACTATAGTAAACCTAATTACAATTATATTATAAAATCTATTCTAATAAAACATCTCAATCCAACTAGTGACAACCCTGTGTATAGATGCATTATTATAATTATGCTATCAGCCAGCAATTTGTTATAAGCAGATCTGTAGAAATTAGTCATGTCATTGTCCAGCTCAGTTCAGTTCTCATTCCAATAGCATCAGTACATCATTTATAATAATGGAATGAACAAAATTGCACTGAATATACTGTGTATTTGTTTGTTTGTTTCTAGGAGAGCGTCGACCCCTAATTGACATAAGGGGAAAAATCATTGAAAAGTGTTCAGCGTTCAGTGTACCCCTCTTTGCAACAGAGGAAGCATTATAGTAAAGAGGAGTAGAGAGAAAGTGAAAAGGCACTCAACAGATGTTGGTGAGTCTTTATTTCTGGAAAATGCATTAAAGGTCACTCACATTCTACTTAGCCACAAATGTAAACCTGATTTTAGGTAGTATTTAAATGAGATTAATAACTCCAGCTACTTGTAGGCCTACAGTCCTGTATATTTCACACTAAATTGTGATGCAGCCTGAATCATAATCACACCATGTTCATTTGTTGGCCAGAGGGGAACTGATTCCTAAACTAAACATACTTTCTCCCAAGGTTTTTTTTTCTCCATTCTGTCACCTGATGGTGATTGGGTTCCTTGCCACTGTCAACTTTTGGCTTACTTATTTGGGGACACATAATATTCAGCACTATTATTGATCTGACTCCACTGACACTATTGGATGAGGACTGAACGGAGCTAGATGATGACACCAGTTTTGCTAGATGAGTCAACACTGATTTCAACTGAACAATGACTCTTTTTACTGTTTAGAGCTGCTTCACAGCAGAAGTGAATTCTGTTTGCATTATTATTTTTCTTTGTATCACTGTAAAGTTATTAAAAATATATTTGACAATATACTGGATATACACAAAAATAGAATAAATCAGGATTTTTTTTCACAGCACTGTACACCTGCAATTATGTTCAGTAGTGTGGCATTAATGTGTGGAAATTGACATTTTTTTTAGTGTGCGATTGCTATTTTCAGGAAAATGCACTGGTAACAACTAAACAAAGAAGACCAAAAATATAATTCAGCAGAAGATGATGGCTGTGGTGAAACAAGCGCTCAAATAATGGTGAGCAGTAATCTACTTTATTTATTTATTAACTATTATCTTTATAGTTTAGAATACATAATAACTGCTATTGTATTTCAGGAACTAAGACCTGTGGGAGTGCTGGAGAAATCAAGTGTAACAAGTCCTCTGTCTCCTCAGCCATGTAAGAGATCTTCAGACATGAAGAGATTGAGGAGTTAAATTAAATCAAAGAACTAAAAGAAGATTTACAATATTAGTGCCAATTCAGTATGAAAACAGAGTGGAAAGGTAATAAAATTATTCTCAATGCTTAACATCAGCTCTCAACAGTTTTTTTTTAGTGGACTCTTTGATTCTCTCTGATTGACTGGA